TCAGCAACTATGATAGTACTCTCGATTGGCCACGGAGTTAATGGCTTTACCTACGATCCAGCGATCGGAGAATTTATTTTGACCGAAAGAAATATACGCATTCCTTCTAGGGGAGACATCTACAGGTAGATCGATCGACGAAATAATTTTTCATGTGTTTTCCGTGTAATTTATTAATAAATTCACGAGAAAATGACGATAATTTCAGTATTAACGAAGGACACGAGAGTGCCTGGGACACAGCTATTAAAGAGTATATCCGTTCGAAGAAATATCCCAAGAATGGGAAACCATATAGTGCAAGGTATGTGGGTTCAATGGTCGCTGATGTACACAGGACAATCAAGTATGGAGGGATATTTCTTTATCCAGCAACTAAAAGTCATCCAAATGGCAAGGTATAAATAATTACTGATTCACGTATTCATATTATATGCATGCCCTTGTTTCGATTTTATTCCGTAACGCGCGTCATATAATTCAATAAGCTAATTGCTTTTAAAACGATTATTTGCAGCTGAGACTATTGTACGAATGTATACCAATGGCTTATATATTGAAAGAAGCCGGTGGCTTGGCATCGAACGGGGAAATCGATATTTTAGAGGTTATGCCAGAGAAACTTCATCAAAGATCTCCGATATTTTTAGGATCATCGGAAGATGTCCAAGAAGTTTTACAGTGCATACAAAAATACAAAACAACGTGAGAGACGTGAATAAAATAATTAAGCAAGGAAACAGTTTCCGAAGATTTTATTATAAGACAAAGCTTGACATTGACAAGTTTAACGATAGGTTAAAACTAAAGTTATAAACGCAACGATGTTTGGTAATTTTTCGAATTTCGATTTTTTCGTTCCTTCAATTCTCATGTTTTCCTTCTTCCAAACGGCAATTTCAATGTAAATATTTAATATTTGTATCCTTCGTTAGTGACGGATCCTCCAGTGACAGGGGATCCCTTTGAAACAGATTCTGGAGCTGGCTAGGTTGCTGCCCCTTCGTTTCGTACCATTGGCCGATAGCCAGCCCCGTCGGCAATGTAGTCGACGATTTGTCTTCTACCGTCTGGTAGTAGTAAGTGAAAAGTTCCAGTTGCTCCGTTATCGTTTCGCGACTTCGCTTCCTATGAGAATTCGTTATATGCCGGAAAATTATTCGGTCCGGTAAAATAAAAGGAAAAATATAATTGCTGGGATATGTTTCTCATACGTTTATGATACGTAAACAAATTTCCATTGGTTCTCGTTGGAATAGTTCCATTAGATTAATAGGAAGATTGAAATAATTAGTTAGTATTCGTGGTTTCGTTCGCGTAACTTGGACAAAGCGTGAAGGAAAGAAAAGGAAATAGTACTTACTTACACCGGCCCATTCGTCTGGGTGACTGCCAGTTTCGCCACTAGTAGTTGGACGCGTTCCAGATCCTGTAGGTGGAAGATAGGCAGATCCTTGAGGTTTGCTCAAAATTCCTAACAACGTCATCGTTAACAAGAGTGCCTTTACTACTTTAAATAAATCGTTTATAAACGTTTATGGAATTAAACGTATATACTTTATCGCTATAGCGTTAACGTTTTATTTATCGTTTTGTTTATCAGCGATATGCAGTTGATGAAATAAAGACAAGGGGAATAAATATCGTTAGGAGGATTATAAATAGCAAAGATGAAACTTTCCGAATCATTCAAAGTTTTCGGCAAAGGAAAATAGCTTAACGTTAGGAGTGGATTTTATACCGCGTTTCAGGTTGCGAGGGCCACGAAACAGAGATGAAATTACGATTATTTGGGGCAACTTTAATACATATCCGTATCTATAATTATAGTTAATTCTAAAGCCGCATATACAGCAAGAATCGTCAACTCGGTAAGCTCGTAACAGTTGCCGAATTGTTCGATTTCTTACCATTTTCGGCTTAAAATTGTTCGTGTTACATTTTATTTTCAAAACATTGTTCAAAATCAATATGGAAATTTGTTACATAAATGACACATCGATACGATTCTCTACTTAAATTAATCAGATTTAAGAGACAATTAATAAAGAAGAAAAATGGTTGTCCCAGTTTCCTTTTTACGTGTTTACTTCTGTCATCATTTCTTTGTATTTTTATACGTACAATGTGATATAGGTACAACGTTTTCATGTCGTGAATATGTATAACGATGTCAAACATTGTTCGCGTGTTGCGACAGACTTCTAAATACTACGTATATTTATGTATATGTATATATAAAAGTGAAAACCTGCTCGCATACACAACTGACCCTCGCTGATTTATTAACTTAACAATAAATTACTAATACAATAAATTACTACTAAGGTTTGTATAAAACTTTGCATGTTGTAAACATGTTCCATAATCTTGTGCGTATTCGCATAGAACCAAGTTAAACAAAATCACATGTAATAATAATAGTAATAATAATAATAATAATAAAAATAATAAAAATAATAACACGTAGTAACGGGGTATTCGAAAGTTCAAACATCTATAATACTGTTGCGCTTCTTTTCCACGTCGGTCGAGTCCAGATCGTTTCCAAGACTACCGACTCTTCCCCTGAGACCAATTCCAGGGCCAACCTGGCCTGTAGCTTTTAATTTCTCTTGCATTTGTGCAAGCATATCTTGCATCCTTCGTATCTGCAAACATAAGATTCGATGTGTAATTTTAAATAACTATTTACCGACAATGTATATACATAAGGGGTGTACATATAGAGAGAGAATGGAGTAATAGCTCCCTTCGTAAAAAATATTCTTGTTATCGTTTCTTACTTTAATGACATAAATGACATTTTGAAATATTTGCTTAAAAATTTTACATTTATCGTTATCGCATTTTCAGTTTCATTTCATTTGGCAACCTTTTTACAGCATACATAGATACGTGTAACCATTTTTTCATTTCCAGGATAATGAAATTGAAATGTTTATGCCTTTTTATAGCATTTCGAAGAAGACATCGTAAAAATAACGAAATCATACAAATCTGTTTCAACTGCGAGAAATATATTTACGAGGAATATAAAGCGTGGAAAGTTATAAGCTGTGAAAATTGCGATAAACAGAAAAGAAGTATCCATTATTAGCTTTCTATTATACAAATTTATAGAGGACTGTCGCTTATTTTTTATTTCCTTTTTAATTCTTACTCGTATTAGATCGGCTATTGTCTGTATTCAATTGTAAAAATATAACTTTTATCTATCTTTTACCTTTTATCTCGTTCATTTGATCGGTAGAAATGTAACGTTTATTTATTTATTTACATCGTAAGAAATTGTTTTTTCTAATAACGTCCTAACTAACAAGTTTGTTTAAAATAGACAGTCTCTTTTAAACACTCGAATTACCAAGCGAGACAAAATTCACCTGACAGACTTGCTTTGGATATTTTAATTCTTTCCCGTTTTCTAAGGTTTCACTGAAAACCCGTCAGTTTTGACGTTAAGATCGTTTGGAACAGCGGAAATATTTCGAACGAATTTAGAAAAATTTTCCTTTTTCTTATACTTTAGTCGTGAAATAACTTTTTAAATAAGTTTTCGTAAAAATAAAATAAAAAATAAATAAGGTTAATGGTGTCGGAATAAAGCGAAGCGATGATCTAATAGTGAAAACGAAGAGACATCTCTTATTTTCATTCAAAATTTCTATTCCACGAATTTAAGCAGTTCAATGCGTGCTAATTAATATTTTTTAAAATGTACGTACGTTACGAGTAGAGATCCCTATTTCGCGTGTATTCAAACACATGTACACGTGTAATCAACGATACCGAACTTCAATTCGTGTAATTTAATTACACGAGTTAATTGTACGTGTGTTCCTTATACGTGTTTTTCTTTCGCACGTAAGTATACGTCAAAGATTCCGGTATCAAACGTGTACAATTATGCCAATTGCACATAATACTCGTGTTTTATGTACAATTGGCATAATTTTCAAATTACTTGACCGAATTTACACGTTTTCTCGAGTTTTCCGTGTAGCGTAATTAAAGTTACGCGGAGTTTTACTTTGTTAATAGAGGTTTGCGACCGGGACCTTTAGTTACAAGAAATTAACGCGATCGATAAGAAACGAGGATAATCACGAGCCGCGCAACATGGATTATTCACGACGCTGTATCTGTCTCTTACCTCTTCGTCCTTCTGCAATAGAAGCCTATCCGTGTCAGATATACTATTTTCAAAATGTGGACCCGAATCTCTTTTCAGTTTACTGTGAACAAATGAGAGAAAAAAAAATGAAATTATATTTGTGTGAAATGAAACCGATGTCTGTTGCATCTGCCACGTTCGTAATAGGCATTCGACCAGTGAAAATGAAAAGAAAATTGAAACATGTATGAATTATAGATATATACGTTGGAAGGTAGCGAGGAAACTGGTAGAGATAGAAATACCGGGACGGTGATAACGCGATACGTAGGAAAAATGAAGGAAAAAGGAAAGAAAAAGGAAAGAAAAAGGATCGTAGATTTAGAGAGAAGTATACCTACTGAAATGCAATACTTATTTACATGCGTAAATACCTCCGTTCCCGAATTGCTTGCTGTGAAATTTGAGAAATGCATTGTGCCCGGAAATTCTCGTAATGTACATCCTGTGTGACGTCTTTGAGATCTTGCATGTGCGTAGATATCAGCATTGTCCTGAGTTTCACGAAATCGCTGTGCTTCGGGTTCTCCACTGCGCCCGATCGAAAGCGAGATGGTTAATTGGCGGTTAGACGGTTTAGGTTAGGTTAGAAACTAGGTAGATGGTAAGCGGCGGATGCGCAAGTACGATCGTTTTGTGTTCTATGACGTGAAAATATGAAAGCTAATTACCTTCCACCACACCCCAGGGATATTGGCGACCACGGACCTTCTTTCCCGCGACTTCCAGCACCGTCGAGCTGCCGACCACAGCGAACGGGATACACGCTTTCAGCTCTTTGTCTTGCTGCTTAAATTCCTCGTCCTCGTCGCTATCGCAGTCCGGAAATTGATATATCTGCACGCGCAAAGCATCGTCTGTCCTTTCACCTTATTCCTCTTGTCCCCTTTCCTTACTTCTCTCTTTGTTCTTACATATTCTTATTCCAGCGCATTATTAACCCCTTGCACTGCGATTTATTTGCAGCCCGTAATGGCCAAGAGTACAATTTCATTTCTCTTACGATTTCGTAAAGCGACAACTCACATGGAAACTTACAATCGGCTATATACGTGCAATGCTTTTTATTATAGATTTGCAGCGAGTCGTAGAAATATTTCTATTCTCTTCCAATCGCTCATTTCGACCGATTATCACACTTTTATCCTCTCACGGCATCAAATTTCGAAATTCTGGCCAATTGGATTATACGTAAATCGTGTTAATAATTCGAGCGATATCATTGGAAAGAAAATATCTATCGCAAAGGATCGGAAAATGCAAAATACAGGAAATAACTTGCTCCTTCTAACTTTTATCACAAATGTTACCAAATGTTTGCTCAAATATTTATACTCTATTAATCTTCGAAGTAATATTTGAATAAAAATAAGAATAACGAGATGATACATGGCGACTTCTTATGATATCTTACAAAACCATGTACATAATATGATGTGTCACAGGGAAGATATCTACGGAATAATTGGAGTAACCTAGTAACGATCTCGAAAGGTTTCTCGTAATTAGTTTTCTTACGCAACGAGACATTAACGTACAGTACGCGATAAAACGATAGCACGCTCTGCGATTTTCACTGTTTCTCGAGATCAATGGGATGCACGCGAATTTTACCTTTACGTACGATATAAAATCTTTTTCTCAACGATATAACAGAATATTCATTTTTTCTACAAATTCTACCTGCCTACGTGAAAAATGAATACGAGAAAATAATGCAAGTTTCGTTATTCCAGGATAGAAAGATTCCTTACTTATTTTTGAATTTACGAATAAAATATAAATGAAAAATATCAGGTTTTGCTATATTTACGAAAATATTTCAAACACGGTAATTGTTTCCCAGCGTTTTCTCTCGGAATAATTTTTGCAAAATTAAATTTCATTTCTAATCGTACGATTTATCTTATATCGATGTTATTTCGAAGTTATTCGAGAAGCGCTAAAAATCGTAGACATTGCTATCATTTTGCCATTGTAAACTCGATACAGCGGAAGCGTGCAATGTCACGTGAAATTTCGGAATTTACGAAAATAAGAGATATTCGTGTATCTGGTCATTTCACGCGGGAAAGTGCTCGAATAATTTAAATCAAATACGTCTAGTAGTATTTTCCATTCGATATTAATTATGACTTTTATAAAGTCACAGGGAGAGCATGAAAAGATATTCTCTCTCTCTCTCTCTCTCTCTCTCTCTCTCTCTCTCTCTCTTTCATGTGCTGAAAATCTGATGGATATCTGAGAGGGAGGTAAAGGATATAAAATAAATTCGTGGATAAGTATAATACGTACACGTGTATTCATGCGAATATAATCGGTACGAGTATAATTGAACGGTACATTCGAAGCGTGGGATATTTTTGAAATTGCACTCGTGGTTGCAGTGAAAGGGGTCAAGTATAAGTAGAAATAGTAGGGAAAAGCGGGAAAAAAGTGAAAAAGCAGTAGAGAAGCAAGTGATACTACCTGAATTTCGTGATCGTTGATGTCATTAAGGATCCGATCCTTCAATACCTTCACTTCGTAAGTGGTTAACGTATCCGCCTTCGCAATTACGGGGACGACGTTCACTTTGCGATGTAACCGTTTCAATACTTCCAGATCGATTTGCCTGAGTCTGTGTGGGAAAAGTGTAAGAAGGAAATAAACGTGATACAGCGTCAAAGGAGAATACGTTAAGGCTTAGATATACCCGTGACCATAAGGCGGTATGAAGTATAAACAACAATGTACTCGGTTGTCTTGAATATTTTTCCTGTTCAATCCGCTCTCATCCGTGAAGTATTGTCGAAATTGCTCGTCGATGTAGGCTGAACACGCTTTCCAAGTGTCTTCGCAGTTTACCGCATCGCCAAAACCTGAATAGAAATTTATTCGATCGCATGGAAGTTGAGTGACAACCTCTTCACCCCTGGTACAACCTCGTATCCATCGAGCAACCCTCGTGTAACACGTGCAAATATCACAACGAAAGCGAAGCGATCCATACGAAACAGTTTGGAATGGTAGGTTTTACGTTAGCAAATTTCTTCGGGGATTTTCGTGTTACGCGAAGGTTGCCGGAATCGCGTTCGATCGTGCATAAAAATTCAAAGGGAATCGTACCGGGTGTGTCGACGATCGTTAAACGTAGCCTGACCCCACGTTCCTCGATATCCATTGTCTTCTTTTCTATCGTGGTCGTTTTTTCGATGCGTTCTAGAAAGAACTGCTTTTGGCAATGATCATCGAATGTGCGACTTTTAGTATGTTTGTACATTTAGTACCAACCAGCGGCATCGAGCATTCGTCGGTCTTTGTACAGATCTCCGAGGAACAGACTGTTTATCAGTGTAGATTTTCCAAGGCCGCTTTCTCCTAACACCATCAGGGTGAACTCGAATCCTCTTTTAACCGATTTTCGGTGCACTTGCTCGGGTAACGTCGCGAATCCGATATAGTCCCTGTCTTGATGGATAAAACGAAACGATTATTCTCCTTCAGCCTTCTTCCACCCGTCCACCGTTTACGCGTTTTCGTTCTTTTGCTCGAGAGCAGAAAGAGAGAAAGAGAGAAAGAGAGAAAGAGAGAAAGAGAGAAAGATCGTAAGATTAAACGGATGCATACGTACCGCCGGACATATTAGCCACCCGCGATGACACTTTGCCAGTGTCAGAGTGGAATGGAAGTGGTATGGAAGTGGGATGGAACGCGGCACTGGAACACTGCACGAGACGCGAACGAGGGGTAGATCGCTACTGTTTTGCCCTCTGGATTGCGTTGCGCTGGCGCACAAATGGCCGCTACCGATCAATAATACGCTCGCAAGTTTAGTTTCTACTCGCCGTTTCTCCCTTTTACCTGTAGTAAAGTCAACCGCAACGCGCGAAATCGGAACGCGCGAATTCTTTGCTTTATCGATAATGCAGCTTATCGCAACGTCAAAGTAGTAAGATAAGTTATCGGAGAAGTGGGAGATTAGAAAATGGAAGGAAAGGAGAAAAGTCGAGGGAGGGAAGAAGGGCGAAGAAGGGCGAAGAAGGATGATGGAGTATCCAAAGGATATGGGTGTAGAGAGTCGTAGAGGTAAGGAGGAGAACGGTGAATGGAACGCGGTCGACTCGCGTAATTTCCGAGGAGGTCGTCGGGCTAGGACGTTTCTCGAGTTCCGGCGCGGCGCCACGCCTCGGCTCGGCGGAGTCAACGTTCCCATGGAAAAGGCGAGGAAGGAAGGGGCAAAACCCGGTGGCCGAACCTGGGCGAACGTGGACGAAGAGATGCTCGTCGCGCGCAACTTTCCCAATTGACAGTCTCGACACGTGGACATCGCTCTTGTAATACTTGGAACACGAGACGAACCCATCCGGCTTGTGTACCACGTTGTACCCCAGACCGTACTTGCTTCGCATTCTTCCTTCGCCCGGGACCCTGTTATCCACCGTCGACCGCTTAAACTTCATCCTCCTTTCGATCATCTGCCCAACGGCTTATCTTTTCCTCCTTCCATATTCTCTCCATTTATTTCCTTTTCCAAATATCCCTGCATCTAAGTCTCCACGCGTCTCTATCATCGTTCCAAACTTCGTTCCGTGTGTTTCCATCTCGAAACGCGCTAACGGTAACTCTGCTAATCTATACGCCAGTCGTATCATACGAATTCAACGCTCCGATTATGCCACTACCTCGCATTTATTCTATTTTTTTCCGATTCCAGTAAAAAAGATCCGTGACAGTTTAAGAGAATTATCTTAATTTCTAATTCAAAAATCATACGGGTTTCATTTCCAATCGCAAACGCAGACTTTTTCTTTCGCGTTAGCTTTCCAATTTTTCCCTGCCGTAACGTTCTATCGTGTATACCGCGATTCTAATGATCATAAAGTTATTGCAAATGTTGACTTAATTCTTTTCACTTGACACCACCTCTCGGGGGATATTGCGAATTTAGGAAACAGCTCGAACGTTTCTTCCAAGCAGACGCAGAAACGTAGTATAGGTTAAAATACAGGAAAAGAAAATATATATTTTTCTACCAAAATTTTAAGCCGAATATCATTCGAATAGAGAATAAGGTTTGGCATACCAATTTATTCGAAGCGTTTCATTTTTCAAAAGGACCAATTTATTACTCTTAACGGTAATTTCATGATATTAATTATCGCGTCATATTTTATAAGAAATAAACAAGTTCGAATACCTTTGATCTTTGGTAATATATTACCAAAGTTTCTCTTCGGGGAGCAACTATTCTTCTTTGAAACTCTTTAAATATATAAGATTGGAAAAATGGTGCGATTAATTCTTATTCAATTTCACAAGAGTTTCTCAATTTATTAATTTCTTATTAAAAATTAGTATCACGTTTCACTAGAAAAAGAAGACGAACTTACTTCCTCCTTTGCTGGCAATCTTCTGAGAAATTGTATAAGAAATTAATATAATAAAAATCCTAATTCTGTTGCATACGACACGTTGTATCGATTAGTATGTATTTGACTGGTTAAAAACTGTAATATTAGCGCAACTATTTAGCGATTCGATCGGTTGTCGTTTATTATCGATACGAGATATTTGAAACCTCTTGCACGATATCGCAAGTTTTCTTTGAAAAAATTCAAATAACTCTCGTATCGACAGTTGTTTCTTAAATATTATCCAAATATTATGCAAATATTATCGAATAAATTATTCGTATAATGCTCACCAACTGTATTCGCAATTTGATAGAAAATTTTTCTACCGTCATGATACTCCACATTATATTAACCCTTTGTGTATTTCATTGATTTCATATCAATACCAGTACGCAGGTATTGCTAATTCACGATTTAATTTATTTTCGGTAAATATTTATTTTAATTTACTTTCGGTTTTGTCGATAAACATCGAAAAGCGAGTAAGTACCAATAGATTAGAATAGTAAGTAACGAATAACTTCGCAGACATATTTATAACTTTTTCATTTCGAAAGCAAACTTCGAAAAAATCGATTACCTCAAACGTGTTTTGAAGTTGTTGATCTGATCGACTGAATAAAAAGAATTATTACATCGAGTAACATATATAATACATACACCCGTTCTGGAAGAGTAAATCAATTTCATTTTTCGTATATATAACAATTCAATTATAAGAATTTCGTAAGACTTTGGAGACGCAATTAATATATATGTATGGAATTAATAGTACAGGACCGAGTATCACATATGTAAATTTCAGTGAAGAAAAGGAAAGGATAAACTTTTATTTAACTTTTATACAAAGACGTAAGTAAACGATGTAATACACCTTCAAACGGTATAATGAACGCATAGTTTCCATAGTTTCGAGTTGTTAATTAAATTTCTTTAATTTCCAATAGAAATGCGATTAAACGAATAACTCTCGTACAAGTGTGATTACTTCGTGTCGTTTTATATACCAACTTGTTATATATTTTCCAATTGTAAAACAAGATTATTACATCATAAACTTGCAACAAAAATAAGAACGAGTTAGATGGAAATAAGTTCTATGCGTAAATAAGTGATATTCAATACACGTTTATAATTCCGAAAAAATAAAATGCCGGTCTGAAATTTTTCTCCGTTACGCGTATCTATACGCATATATATGTAACAATCTTGCCAAGCATTAAAAATGTAATCATAGATTAACTCATTCGGATGATTCACATTTGAGTTTTCGGATTTCCTTACGGAAATTCGGATGACGCACGAGAGTCTTTAAATTCGTCATAATTCTGTCTTAAAATAAATGGATAAAACGCGATAAATATTTCGTCACTTCCCCAGGAATATCGTTGCAAATGTTTCACGAATTTAAAAAGTTATTATATCATCTCTCCGTTAATCAAATTTATTCTAACGTGATAAATTTGCATATACGATATATCTTTCATCATCTTTTCTACCTGTTCCCTGTATTCCCTGTACGTGTAATTTCTTTCTGAAATATATGAAATATATATTTGTATTCATAGTAACAGTTATGTACATATATGTATACAAAGATTTATTCCTCTAGTAATAATAATAATAATTTTTTTAATAGAGGAAATCCATACAAATTTATCGATTTAAATTCCTCGTTGAAGTGTTATTGACAGGTATTCGTTTATCTTCCTTTTATTTCTTTTTTATTAACCAAATCCTATGACAAGTATTCTCTTCTACACTGTTCGCCATTAAATCGAGTTAGAGTATCCATATAAATAAATATTCCCATAATTAATTATATTTACTTAAAGAGGTTCTAAAGACTAATTAGAGAAATTTATTAGTATAAAGTTTCAAGTGCTAGAATATAATTATTACAAAAAGTATGGAATGTTTTGTGGGCATGTTATCTCTCGATTAAATTTACATTTAGTATGATATCGTATTAGATTTATCGTGTTCGATATACGTTATTTCGATGCAATTTTTATTATATAATTTTCCACCATTGTAAAGCTATATTTGCTATACGATTTTCTGATTATTTTATTCGGTTCAAATTAAGTTGTCGTTAATATTTATAATGATATATTAAAAGAAAAAAGTATATAATAATATTATTAAAAATTTTAAAAAGGACAGTAAAATACTTGTTCCGATACCTGTGTCAAATTTCGTTATATTTCGTTATATTTAAATATGTTTGAAAATCAGAAGAATACTTCGTATGTATATTTCGTTGATAAATTAGACGTTATAAACATATGTATATTTCATTCCTTCTTCGTAATTTTTTATTGAAAATTTCATAAATGTACCGTGAAAACATTGTTAATACGATGTATTGCTCTTCGATAGGCGTGTAAATCCTGTATCTTTAAAGCTTTATTATTTTTGCTTCGTTATAAAAATAAAAATATAGTAAACAAACAATGTGATCTGTAATTTTTATAGTAAATAAACAAACAAGCGTGTACACAAGGTTATTAAACAGAGAAAAAGAAAATATATTCTACAATTTATACAATGAAATGTATTAAAAAACTTACTAATAGCGCATTACAATTAAGTACTACGCGGTTTGCATATTCATCTGCTTCGTTAATCGTTATAATCTTGTTGGAAATGAAAAAAAATCTTTTTTATCGGGTCTATACGCATACGTATACTTGAAAAGTTAAAGAATTCGAAGATAAAGAGTTTTTCGAAATAACAAAATAATAACGTAATATGAAATTGACCCATCAATAAGATAATACAATAATTAAAAATAAATTTTAACGGTATCAAAAATGTTTATACTTTTAATTTCCCGAGATATTTCTGAATTTCTTATTATACTTTACACGATATACGATTAAATATATGGAAAAATAGATAGCTTGGAGAAAATCTTTTATCATCTGTTTTACAAAATAGATATTTTGCACAATAATCATTATGAACATCATAATTTGTGTTTATTCGCGTTTCGCTTTCAGCTTTGTAGGAAAAATCTAATAAATAATAAAGATAATCTAAAAAATTCGTTTAAAATTAAAAAACGATTTGATATGTATAGTACGAAAGTGTTGGAAATAATTTAAAACGATAAAAATCGCAAAAAGGGTGGTAAAGTATCGTCGATAATAATCATTCGAGAATCGTTCTGTTTGATCTAAATCGAGATAGAAAATTCTTGTTAAGAGGTTTCATAATTGTGGAAAAATAATTCTAATTATAGAATGCAAAGCATGCATTGATTTAGAAAACGAGTTTCACGAAAATATAATGATAATGTAATTAAGAGTGGATATTTCTACGTTATTTGTATATTATACAGTTATAATTAAACTGAATATTCTTATAAGAAATAGATGTAATTATAGATATAATTATATATAACAAATAATTGTTTTTTGTACAAATATATGAGAGATTATTAGAATATAAATAAATATTTAATTTCTTACACGTTATTTATAAATTTTAAGCTGTGTTATAAAGAAGAAAATAATTTGATTATATCGTATGAAATTAGTGGCATTTTCGAAAGCGTAAGTATCGAAGGGCGAAAGAAAAAGAAGGGATGATAGAGAAATTCGCCAATTTTCAACCTGAAAACGAAAAATGTTTATAGGATATGTTTTACAAGTTTTAAAATGTACAAAACGCATAATTATTTATTTGGGAAGTTATGGGATAGTTATAAAAGAAACGTTTGAATTTTACGAATTTATCGAATAACATGTAAACACGCCCAGTGGTTAATTATGAGAGTCATAATAACGAAAAATGCATTGGCCGAGTATTTGGCAGTTTGAAATATATGCAAATTTAGACATATATACCTGTATAATATTGTTTTAATAAAAATTCTCTGTACATTTACAGTAAGACAAAGAAGTCGATCGTGATAACAATAAGATATTCCGCTTTGTTTCTATTACATTTTTACTCGTGCCTGCGATTCATCTTCATATTTTCAGATCCGAAAATTTGTTCAGCGATTTGCATATGAGTAGTTGGAAATGAATACTGCATGTCGATATGCCTATGTGGCTTAATTCCATTGTTCCTACGATATGAATAAAAGATACTATACTCAAATTTGACATGTTACTCAACACACTCTTCGTATATGTATGTATATCGTTGAAGTACGTGTCTCGAAATGCGTAATAAATCATTATTATCGTAATCTTTATAAATTTATAAATATTCTGTTTAATTCCGTTTATCGAATTAAGTAACCTCCGTATCGACATTTTTTAAATATTTTCTGCGTATCGTCGATGAATTTTACGATTTTATTTGCATTTCTTTCATTTTAGTGGTAGGTTAGTAAAACAACAATGTGTATTTCTAAATTTAAACGGGACGCATCGTATTCGGATATTTACACATTTATACTTTTCAGCTTTCATTATTACATTATTACATCTATATCGATTCAAATTAATCTCTTCTCTTTTTTCTTCTTCTTTTGTCACCTGGTCACGGTTAAGGATGGTCTACACGCTAATTGTAGTATATTTTTTTTTTTTTCATAAGCCTAACTCCCCAAATTTTTAAGGTTACCTTTAGCTTTACGAATGAAATTCAATAATTTCTTTCGCAGAAAATTCTTACTTTTCAGCGGAGGAAAGAGCAAATTCAAAAAGCGCAGCCACATAGGTACTCTTTCTTCGTTATTAAGACTCGAGAAATGATGGAAAAATGTGTTTTAAACGTATTTGCAGACTTTTCGAGTTAAACTAAATAAATATTGCTTTTAACGTGTCCCGTGAGAAAGATGCAAGGAAGTGAAATCAGGAAGTGAGATGTTCGATTAAGAATTTGACGTGTCGAACTAGCGTGACGTGTCGTACCAGACAACCTGGTATGTTCGTACCTTGTTAGCATCTGAATTTCTGGCAACACCTCTAAAAGAACTAGCAGAGGGTTCTGTAAACATGCAGTATACTTTTTCTAGTTCTTTCGCTTAAGATTTTGTTCATAAATTTATATTCCCTATTTACTATCAAACGGATCGAAATAGTTTGTTTCGGACTTTCTGTTCTTCGCAGCTGCTGAAAATATGTAGCTGCTTTTGGCAAAACTAATATTTATTTTTCTTCTTGCGTCTTTATTTTCATTATATCGCTTTAATTAATATCAATTATGTACGCTATGTCTAATGTAAATATAATACGTATATTTTATAGGTATTATAGATTGGTAATTCTAGCGTTAACATCTTCTATCGCCACAGCGAGTGTGGCACATCGCGATCTTTCTATGCAAAATAGTATTGCAACATCTTCATCAGTGTTATATCGTTGCTTCGTAAGTATAGTGACACTATGTTCAAATATATTCTCTTCTTATTTAAATATTGGAATTACGATATCTTTGTCAAGCGTTGTAGAAAAATTTCACGGAAACTTATTCTACGATTATACAAATATTTCTATCTTTCCAATTATTGACTTCAAATAATTGCAATTCTTCTATGGTACGAGTTTCAAAATCTTTATCAACGAGAACGCTTGTTACTTGCAAGAACACGAATAATTTTTACGATACAAATATCTTTGTGACAATTCTCATTATAATTCTCTTTGTCATTGCACTAGATTTTTCATAAATTTTAATATTAAAATTATGATTAGTGGGAATTAAATAGCGAGATTGAAATGGAGTCATTACGGAATGATGCGTGTATTTTTGTGATTTTTGTGTAATAAAATTTACATTGGTCAAAAGTTTAATTATTATCTTTCCTATACATTATTCTATTAATATCGTTCCAATTAACAAGGATTCTTTCCTTCTTAATAAGCATCGGTAGTAGTAAGTTAGTAGTATTTGTTAGTCTACTCTTTTATTGTACTCTACTGTACTACTCTATCGTACTACATCGTATTAACACTAACTGATCTATTTATCACATTTTGAGATTTTTAAAGTCACGTTATCATATATCAATGTTCCTTTTTTTGTTTATTTTACTTTATTTTATTATTACAGTGTTTCTATACTATAATAATCTATTATATCGACATAATATAGATATCATATTAAAATGGAAACATCGCAACTGAAAAGTGCTTTTAGAGATTAAGAATTTAATTGAAAAAAAAACTATTTTGTTTGAAAAAGAAATTATTGAATTACGAACTGTATATGTTCGGTCGTAATATTTCCATATCACAAGCAATAAAAATTCTATTTATAAAAGCTTAAAAAACAACAACGATAATGATGATAATAATAATAATAATAATAATAATAATAATAATAATAATGTGAATCGCTTCATTAGTAAGAATAATAATTAAGGTGAACTTTATTTGTTTGTTTACAATATGTACCTACTCAAATCTAACGAAACGATAGTAGTTTCGGGTAAACGGTAAACGGTAACGACTAAATCTCACACACGAGCATTAAATAAATAGTCAACGCAAATAGTCATTTGAGAAGCAAAATCCTGTGGCTTTGGTAAATATTTCGCACGTTCATCTTTATTTAGCTATTATCTGGAATATTTCCAATTATAACGCAAAATCTATTTTTTAGCACATTTACATAGTACACGGTGGTGCGTTTTAAAACTTAATATTATTCGTTTATTTGAAATTTTTTTTTGTCAATTTTCCTCGCGATTTCTATCCAATCAAGTTAATCGTTCGTTCGATCGAAAATATTATTGTTTCCTCTTGCATTTACGACTTTATGGAATGTTACGAAATAAAATAAACCTGTTTTAATATTTAAATCACTTATTACAAATGTTAAATTGTTAACGAGTGTTAAATTGATATAAAAAGTATTCAGATTATTCGTGTTACCTCTTAATAACGTACAATCGTTGCCCCAAAATGTTGTTACGTAACTCGATTAATTATCGCTAATGATCGATAACGATGATCGATAATGATACAGGATTCGATGATCCATTTTGTTCACGTTCAAATGTCGTTACAAGAAGTATCAATAATTAGAAGCTATAGCTTTGAACGTGTACTCATAAGTTCACGTGCGTCAATTCGTGCAATTCTTGATACCCGAATTTACATGTACCGACAGATTTCTATACATTTTATTTCGCGATTACTAACGTACAACGAGGTACTCGAATACCTAGAACGATGCAAGTAAATTGCAACGCGTATGAAAACTCTTAGTTAGCCTAAACCGTATATTAGAAGGAATAATAACAAATAACGCGATTAAGAATTAACAAGATCGAAAGAAATAATCGCTCGTTGTAAAGCGTTACTCGATTAAATGTAAAAAATGCAAGTGTTGGTTTTACGTGCGCGAGTGTGAGTGAGGTTGAACAAACGAAACTCATTTGTAATTGTGCAAACTATGATATAGATATAATATATGCGCGAGTGCCACCTAGTGTGAATGATGTTTGAAAAAATGTATGGAAGAATGTACCAAGATTCTGTGTACCATTTCAAATAGTTTACTATTTTTTAGGTTTGGTATTTAAATATTTTGCCTTAAATATACTTTGTGCGTTACTGGCAGGAAAGAGGTGTGAGACATTATTGTCCATTCTACCCACAAGGAAAAGAAAGAATTTCCACGCGTTGAAAATATCTTTACGACGAAATACATTGTTCATTGTTATAAAAAGTTAATATATAATTTTCTCGCATTAAAGCGTTAAATTTATTTCGCAAATTATATCCGTTATTTGCATAATCGCGTTTATGTTAGAAATTAGTGGCAAATTGGTTAAATACGATAGAAAATCGATTATCAAGGGAACTTCGATTATCCGGATATTTTTAGTACGTAAACGTTTCGATTGAAATTGCGGTTCATACGCGAGAAAATCGGTAGAAACGGGTAATCGTTTACTTGGGCATGGAACACCGATCACGGTACAGCATAACGTCTATCGCTACGCGTCTTCGCGTTTATGAAAATTATGAAAACGAAAGAGGATATAATTGGAAAATTGCGATATCGTTGATACAATAGAATGGTTTAAACGTAACGAAATTTCTTTAATCGATCACGATAGTAGTCGCGTTTAGAGGCATACAAAATTTCAAAAATGGGGCTGTGAGGTGGTACGAGGTGCAAAAAGAATTTAATTTAATCATTTTTACCGGCTCGAATTTACTAAAGGAATCGCGTGATTTAGCAGCCAAGACAATTTCGGACGCATAAATTTTTAAGCAAGTTGCATTGAAATTTACCATTTGTTATCGTTGTTATTGTACACGCGTTCCGCTTTGAAATATTATTAGTATTTTGTTAATCGAAAATTCTGTTACCGGAACAGCGCAACAGATTAATCCCGATAATCGAGATTCTATTATTTTCTATTCGTATTAATAATCACGCGAGATAAAATATGAATGTACGCGTACACGTACGTTCATTGACAAACATTATGGCACCAACTATAACGATTCGAGAATTGTTCTACATTCCTCTATGTTCCGATATATATACGCGTTTCGTTGAAATGAAAAATAGGTTTAAGCAAAAACCACGTCCATTATTATACGTGCCATTTTCAATTTTAATTTATTTACTTCGGATATAAAGAATAGGGAGAAATTTTCAAATCATCGCATCGTTTCCCAACTTACACGCATATATCGGTAAACGTATACGTATTAAACGTGTACGTATCAAAAAGTACACGTACTTTTAATAGTAAAATCATTGTGCAATAAGAATAATAATAAGAATAATAATAAGAATAGCAAAAAGAGGTAAGAACGATAGGGAAATATGACGGATAAGAAAACGGGAAAAACTAAAAACTACTAAAAACGGGAAAGGAGTAGAATGAGAAAAACAATAACGAAAGACGGAAACGGTTGGAAGAAGGGAAAACCGCAGCAATTGTTCTACTATATTTGACATTTGAGGAATAGAAGAGCGACATATGGAAAGGATCCGTTAGCTAGATGTTTAGGTAACCGATGATACGGATACGAGCGTGCACGATCTCTAATGACGGATATTACAAGGATCGTCGAAGGATGCGAAGAGAGGTAGAAAGATGAGAGAAAGCGAATCCGACTGTCTCTCGGTGTTGCGTCAACATAATTGCAG